AAAGAGAACAATATTGTGATGTGTGTTGGAAAGGGATGTTGCAGTTAGGGTGAGTTTGGGGGTAGTACTTCAAGTATAAACACCTCAGAACCAGACCACTGCTAGGAACAATTATCTAGATAACCACCCTTGACTTAATTGTCTCGTGGTAATTTTGAACAGGGAGATATGATTTATTTCATTACCCACATTTGATGTCTTAATTGATCCTCGTTTGCTGCCAGGGAATCACCTGAAGCGGTATAGTCATCTTGTTGTTCACATTTATCCTTTAGGTTAAACTCGTAAGGTCTTTGTATAGGATCGGTACTGAGGATCGACGGGATGGGGTAGATTGATATGATATATCTGCGTTGATGATAATAGTTGGTTTTTTAGGTTTGTCATATATATATATATATATATATATATATATATATATATAATCACATTGTGGGATTGAATATCTTATCTATCTTACTAGGTTTCCTGACCTGACTCATTCATTTTATATGCATCACGGGTAGCGGTGTTAAGTCTTTTGAAGATATGAGTAAGATGATGAGTAACTGAAGAGGAAACCTACAATAGTATTAAGGACCGTTAGGTGTTTACACTATAACATATGTACTGTATCAATTATAACATCCCAAAGATTTTATTAATTGAGGCAATCATTTGTACTCAAAATATTGTAATGTATTAGGAATTTCCACAATAAATAATATATGATTTTTGAAAGCGTAAAGATTTTTTTTTGGTTCTAAAATTGGGGATGTCACACCGAGTATATCATCGACATACAATATTGGGAGCACCATATTACTCCTACTGGCTTTGACATATATGCAAGACTCATCCTCACTTCTAGAAAATCCAAATTCCTTAACCTTTTCATGAAAGTAAAGATTCCAGCTTCATGATGCTTGTTTGAGTCCATAAATGGCCCTCTCAAGATTGAACACTCTATTATTATATTTTGGATCAAATATGCCTTCGGGTTGTGTCATACAGACATCCTCTATTAATTTTTTTTTTGTTAAGGAAAGCAGTCTTACATCCATTTGTCATATTCCATAATCATAAGCATCTATTGTAAGTAATATTATGATAGATTTAATCTTGGATACTGGTAAGAAGGTTTCCTTATAGTCAATGCCTTGAGTCTAAGTGTAACCCTTCATAACCAACAAAGATTTAAGTGTATGCACATTCTCATCTATGTCGGTCTTATTTTAAAAGATCCATTTGCACCCAACGGTTTTAATGTCAGACGTAGGATTAACCAAACTCCAAACTTGGTTATCGTATATTGATTGAATTCCATTTTTCATGCTCTCCTTCCATTTAGTAGCTTCGGTGTCTGACATTGCTTCCTTATTCTCAGAAGGATTATAGAACAAGTATCCAAAAGACTTTTATGGGTAGCCTATGAAGAAACACTTTTTCAATCTAGGCTCTAGTTTATCATTAGCCTCATGACGAACAAAAACTTTGCAACCCCAGACTTTCAATTGTGCAAGATCGGAGGTTTCCAATTCCACCTTTCAGAAGGTGCCTTAGCGATCTTCTTAGTTGGTAGAAGGTTTAATATATTGGAGGCTCTTTCTAGGTCGTAACCCGAAAAACTTACTAGAAGCATAACTCGAGTCATCATATATCAAACCATATCAAGTAGTGTTTGATTCTTCTCTCAGCAACACCATTCAGTTGTGGTGTTCTGGGAGGAGAAAATTGTGAGACAATCGTATAATCCTTTAGATGCTCGATATATTCAAGACTTAGGTATTCTCCACCCCGATCAGATCGGAGCATCTTGATCTTCTTGCCCAGTTGGTTTTCAACTTCCTTTTAGAGTTCTTTGAACACTTCAAAAGTTTCTGACTTGTTCTTTATTAACTAGATGTAGCCATATCTACTAAAATTATCAATAAAATTCACAAAGTAATATTCTCCATGTTTTGTAATGGATTTGATAGGTCCATGTACGTTAGTGTGGATTAATTCCAACAAATCATTGCCTTGTTCACACTTTCCTGTGAAAGGTGCTTTTATCATCTTGCCAAGTAAGCAAAACTCATATACATTATTCGACTCTAGGTTAAATGATTCTAATATCCCATCCTTTTGGAGCTTATTAATGCTTTTCTTGTTCACATGCCCAATACGACATGCCATCAGCACGATTTATCTGACACGTTAGAATTAAAAGAACCAACATTTAACATTAGATTAGTAGTGTTTCCTATACCAACAACACTTTGATAAACACCATTACTAGGACTAGCTTTGAAAATAAATGAACCACTTTTGTAAACCAAAATATCGCCATTATTATTATCAAGAGCAAAACTAAATTCATCCTTGAACAATGCGTGAAAAGAAATAATGTTATGTGTCATACTAGACAAGTAACAACAATTAACTAAACTAAAAGACACTCCATTAGTTAACATGAGCTTGTATTCCCCAATCCTTGAACATGTGTAATCCCTTTATTTACCATGATCAGGTTCAACTCCCCATGCTTCAATCTTTGACTTTCCCTTAATTCGAGATAATGTGAGTACGACATCCAAAATTAAGAACCCAAGAACTAGAATTTGACATACTATGAAGTTCAATCATAAAAAATACTTGACGTACCAATACCCTTGAGTTTGTTCATTTTCACGTCTTCAAGGTACTTTAGGAAGCTACTTCTCCAGTGACCCTTCTTTTAGCAGTAAACGCAAATGACCTATTTTGGGTCGGTGTTAGGAACTATTCCAGAGTCATCTTTTCTTGTGAGACCTTGATTAGAAGGTCCAACCTTGGTCTTACCCTTGAAATGAGAAACCTTCTTCTTGTTAGCAACTGTCACACCCATGGTCGGCGACAGAAGCGCCAGGATGTGCGACGTTAAGGTGTTGGGATTTCAGGCCTATATATGTATTGAATAATACACATGATGTACTAAACAACGTAGTTATTTAGACAGAATTATCAGGAGCATGGGTCGACATATCAGAATATAGCAACACGGGAAAGGACCAATCTCGTGATCAATTTTGCCTACGTGTTACTGAGTGGTTTTGTACTGGTATGGGTCGAGACCCATATTATCATATGTCCGACCAATGTAACTTGAAATGGAATATTGTTAACAAACTCGTGACACATTGGAACATAATTTACACAAACTTCAAAAAGCAATGAGCTAGAAGCAAAAGTGAAGAAAGTTTATTGAAAAAAATACACGTGAAATTCCAAGATGACATGTTGAAGCCTTTTAAGTTTATTCATATGTGGGAAGTTGTCAAAAGAAGCATTAGGTGGAAGGAGCTTGCAACACATGAAGACATCGGTAATCCGCAAAAAAGAAGCCGAACATCTTCATATTCGAGCTCATAACAAATATCATTGGATGGTCACATTCGCGTTGATCTTAACGATGATAACGACGACATCGAAGAAATACAATCACCTTCTCGTCACATGGGAATGGACAAAGTAATAGCTCAAGGAAAAGGAAATGGAAAAGCAACATCGTCAAATTCTTCAATCGGAACGTAGCGGTGAATTAGATCAGAGGAAATGATGACACAAATGACATAACTGAATACAACTTTGGAGAAGCATATGGCTGAAATGGTCCGACTCACAGAATATTTGTTGTTGATGCAAGATGTGAGACACCTCGAGGAGGTGGCTAACTTGGTGAAGGCTTCGATTCGTGAAAAATATAAACTCAAATGCAATTGAAATTTGGATGTTATGTTTGTTTTTATTAATTTTTCACTTAAGACTTTTGTTTACGTATTTAATGCAATTTCTATTTCATGTTATTTTTTATTTTTAGGATTCATGAAATGTAAATTTTAATTTTATGTTATTTTTAATTTTAATATAATTTTTATTAAAAATTTGATATTAAAAAAAAAAAAAATCATAGATAAAATCATTTCCCACGCCTTAGTTGGTAGGTAAAATTTGTAGAAAATATAAAATATGGCACCTAGGTCACAAAACCTTTTACCCTAAATGAGAAGGATGAAGATAATGATAAGTTAAAAAAAAGTTTGCTAAAAAAACATATTATTTTACGATTTAGATACCTTGTCTGATTATTGAATTATTTTTATTCATCAAAAATACATTGTTTTGTGAAAAACAAACATATTAATGATAGATTGAATTTTGTTAAAGGGTGTCCGATGTATATTTAACATCAGTATTAAAAAAATATATGAAAACATTGACAAAGGACCAACTAGCCTTGGTAGCAGTAGTATGACAGAATTGGAGTCATTCTTGTGATCAACAAATTAGATTCAGATGGAATATCAATCACATCATCCAAGCACTATAAAATAGTAATGTATATTGTGATTTTTTGTATTTTACCTATAATATACAGTTAATTAATTTTGAGTTATGTAAGCCTTTTATAAGGTAAAAATTTGTTATGCAAATATGAATCACCATGAATTTGATTATATAACCGAAGGCGAAACTCAATTTTTTATATAATATGCTAATTCTATTTATAAGTCGATCAAAAGTTTCCCGTTAAACGTGTTCGGACGAAAATAATACAAATTGATTTTTATAAGATATGCCATCGGAACAAAGCTCTGAAATTTGATGTGATACCATTTAGTGAAATTACAAATTTTCACCAATTACGTTCAAGATTCCGTCACTAACAAGTTTTGCAGTCAATTAAGCCACAAGCATATTTTTATTGTCACTTAATTAATTAAGGATCTCGAAAACCACATAAAAGATTTTCAATATCTGTTGTTAATTTGTCCATTAGTCCACGATCGGTATAGATGGATATGAAATTCAAACCTCATGCCGAATAAATTATATTAATCACTTTAACAAAAAGAAAAAAAAAAAACATCTAAATTAAACATCTATAGTTCAAGTACAACCATCAAACATGCAACACTAAACGCTAGCTAGCTAATTTTCTCTTAATTTTATGCATGAGCTACGTACAAACACAAACTGTGTATAAAAAGTTTATTAATTTAACGATATGCAGCGTTGGTTAACAGCAGATCCGACCATGGAAGTGTCGGATTCCATAAACCCGGCTCACCATTTGCAACAGCAGGAGCAGACTCCATTACAGATGAAGATAAAGTATTCATCACAGGTGGTGTTTGATGATCATGATGGTAATTATAGTTTGATGGAAATGATCTTAACCGTTGATACATTCGACCTAGATTAAGATTGTTTCCTGTGTTTATAATCCCTCCGTTTTCCTCACGTTGATTTTGCTCCGTTTGACTGTTTCTCCAAGATGAACTGAACGTGTTTGTGTGGGTGACTGGGTTTAACGCAAAATTAGGGTTAGGGTTTTGTGTGGGTCTTAGTAAGGGAAGAAGATGAGAGGTTTGAGGTAAGCTAGCCCAAAAGATCGGGTCGGAATGCTGAAACCCGTTCATGAATCCTGTTTTTCCGAGCTCGGAAGAAAGAACCGCCTTCAGCTTTGAGGTGTTGGAAATATTATGGTTTGCTAAAGCAGCTGCTATGGTGGTTCCCTTGTTTTTCCGGCAGCCACCGCCGATGGGAACGTTACGGAGGGCTCCACCTTTAGTCCAGTAACGTCGGCAAGTCTTGCAGAAGTAGCGTGGCTGAGTGAGGTTGTAGTTGTTGTAGTAACAGAACTTTGTGTTGGAGGAATCGCATCGTGGGCATCTCAGATGATGGTTTTCCGAGGAGTTTGGAGTATTGGTGGCGGAAGACGGTGGCGCCGGTGGTGAGGGTTTGAGAATTTGAGAATTAGTGGAAACATTTGGCTGTGGAGCAGTAAACAGCTCCTCCATCATCTTTTGCTTTCTTGTATGCAGGAGAATAAAGGCATGAAGGATGCAAGCTTTAATATATAGGACCAATGGAGTACAACAATAAAAAATATTTATTCAAGTTATATAAAGTAAACAGTAAAGTAAACAGTAAGTAGTAAATGTTTTGTTGAAAAGATTCCCTCCAAGCTCATTCAAACTTTATCACATTAACTAGTTCAATCTTACGTCACCTATGCTGGACACTGAAATAATTAACTTATACATAATTCTTATATGATTAGTCACATATGTTGGATACTGAAATAATTAACTTATACATATTTCGTATATGATTAAGCTCACATAATAAGAACATTACTTTTAAACATCAAATCTAATTTATTTTTTAGACTACTTCTGATTATACTTGTATCATTTGAACGATCGACTTACCACTTGATAGGCAAGAAACTCTTTAGTGATAGCAAAATTTATTGCTTTGTCATGTTTGGCTATAGAACCTTTTTTTTCCATTCAAATATGTCACTATATATACTTTTAAAAATTATTAATTATAATCAAAATTGAATACAAATAATTTTTTCTTTTTAAATATAATTACAAGAGATACTTTCTAGCGTTAATGGGTTAAAAAAAAAAAAAAGTCGAGCGACTCCTTTGAAAGTACGATAATTTGGGTTTATGAAAAAAAATAATTATATAATTTTCGTATGAAAAAATTAAAATAACATTAAAAAGCTATCAAAACGATATTCTTTAAAATTTATTTTCCACTTTTTTTTCCCAGTGGACACTGACAATGCAGAGGGCCCTTATTCTAAATCTACGACCGTTTAGAGAGGACACATTACCAAATTATTATGCTCATGATTCTTTTTGTCGTTGCTGCAACCCCCAATTCTTCTTGCTTTGACCAATCTGGTATGTATAGATTAAATTCAGTATATAATATTGCTAAATGATTAGCCACTATAGTTAAATATTTAAAGCCATAAAAGGAAAACTTTGTAATATTAGCCATGGATTATAATAAAACAAAAGGTAAATTATATATATATATATATATTTAAATGCCATGACAATCTTTTATATAAATTTATTGTTATTGTAACACATCAAGCCATAAAAAAATAAAAAATTGTTAAGTTTGTAATAACTTTTCTAACATTGATAAAAGATTGAAAACTTTGGATTCAGTAATATATCTTAGTTTATGTTTGAGATTGTTGATACACTAATTAAATTTGGACCGGCGTTATATTTAAATTTGGACGTGTTCAAGGAAATGTTTTGTAGCATTTGTCTGACATGTGAAGAACTATCTCTTATCAGTAAGGTAGACTTCTTTGAGAATTGATATGTTATCCTAGTTGCATTAGTGTTATGTTGAAACATTGCTTGAAGCCTTGAACGTTGTATGGTCGTGGTGCAAGTCGCATGAAATCAAGTTACATATATTATACTTTTAGATCTTTGGTCCAACCTATGAAGGGATTTGAGAGGAATTAACGTTTGTGCGAGATACATATATTTTGGGCTTTGGTTATTTTGTTTTTTTGATGAATGAATCAAATTTGTTCTTGGGCCCTATGGCTTGTTGGCAAACCATTTCTTGATAACTTGCTGACTCTCTTCTCCGATGACATTCTTGAAAACAAGAGATAAGTACTCAAAGTGCTTATACGAGATAAACAAAATATTGATTTTCAAAGTTTCTTCTCAACGTCTTCAAGTTCGAATGTTGATGCTCGATGGATTTGGTGCCTAGATTCATCCGGGAAATACTCAGTGACTTCTTTTAAACATTATATGGAATCTAAAAGCTCCCATCTTCAAGTGGGGTGTGGGTTTGGAATAATTTAGTTTCCAGGAAAATCAATGTACTAGCGTGGAGGATCTATCATCGGAAGCTCCCCACATCTGAAAACCTCATAAGGTTGGGTATATGCTCTTCCTCCTTCTCTGCAGAATGTGTAACTCAAGCCTTGAAAATGAGGATCATATATTCCTTATCTGTCCTAAAATAAAGGAGGTGTGGTTCGCATTAAGACTTTGGTGGAAAAGCTTGTTTGTAACTTGCCCGTCTATTGAGGCTTTGTTGGAAAATGCAAACAGGGTGTCAAATGGTCTCAATGCTCTTTAGGAATCGATAATACTAGTGTTCCTATGGGTTGTTTGGAAGTTCTGAAATCAAAATATTTACAAATCAGACCACAAATCTCACACGCTTTTGGCAAACGAGGTGCAATTGTTATCTCACCTTTGGATAAATAACAGGAAAAAGAAATGGGGAAATCTCACTTGGAGTGGGGGTGTTGCAACCCTATTCAAGAATGTAGAGAAAAAATATATTATCATAAATAGTTTATACTTGTATTTTTCATTTCTCGTTTTTTTTTTTCATCATTTTCACTTTGTACCTATAGCCCCTAGCTAGTTTTTTATTTTATATAATTATCGGCCGTTACAAAAAAAAAGTCCAAATATTTGGATGACATTATGAAATGTGAAGGAATTAAAAGTACAACAAAAGTCGAGACGGTTATGAAATGGTAACCACCTAAAAGTCTGAGTAACATTTAAAGCTTATTAGGATTGACAAGTTATTACTGGAAACTCGTTAAAAACTTCTCAAAAGATCATGAAGAAACTTCAAAGGAGTTAAGAAAAGATTGTGTGAGGCAATAATACCTTACTATGTAAAAGATGCTTTATGCAAGTGTTTGAGTTGTCCTCTCACAAAACATGATAAAGTTATTGCTCATGCATACCAAAGTTTAAGATAGACAAGGTGAATTATCACACATATGATTTGAAGTAGTCAGTTATTTATGATTTAAAGATTTAACAACACTACATTTATCGGATGAAGGATAAGGTGGATACATTTTATGAATCATTAAAGCTTGCAATACTTGTTTAATATAAAATAAAGGAGATGACTTGAAATAAATAAGGATTATGTTAAAATTTTATATCAACCAGAAAGGCTCATATTGTGGCTAACATCATGAGTCGTAGGGATATTAGTGAAAGACAACAAAAGTGAGCACTTTGAATTGAAACCGTATCATCCCTAATCGATGAATTGAGGTACACTCAATTAGGGATGTCCTTGATGAAAATATAAATGAAGAAAAACTAGAAAAATCAGTGGAATTTTAAACCGGTCAACACGGAATGAAAACATTGTAAGGTCGGTTATAGGCACCAATTTTATTGGTGGGAAAGATCTTCATTAAAGCTTGCAATACTTGTTTAATATAAAATAAAGGAGATGACTTGAAATAAATAAGGATTATGTTAAAAATTTATATCATCCAAAAAAGCTAATATTGTGGCTAACATCATGAGTCGTAGGGATATTAGTGAAAGACAACAAAAGTGAGCACTTCGAATTGAAATCGTATCATCCTTGATCGATGTATCGAGGTACACTCAATTAGGGATGTCCTTGATGAAAATAAAAATGAAGAAAAGCTAGAAAAATCAGTGAAATTTTAAACCGGTCAACACAAAATGAAAACATTATAAGGTCGGTTATAGGCACCAATTTTATTGGTGGGAAAAATCTTCATTAAAGCTTGCAATACTTGTTTAATATAAAATAAAGGAGATGACTTGAAATAAATAAGGGTTATGTTAAAATTTTATGTCATCCAGAAAGGCTAATATTGTGGCTAACATCGTGAGTCGTAGGGATATTAGTGAAAGACAACAAAAGTGAGCACTTCGAATTGAAATCGTATCATCCCTAATTGATGTATTGAGGTACACTCAATTAGGGATGTTCTTGATGAAAATATAAATGAAGAAAAGCTAGAGCTGATATTTGGAGCAATGATCAATTCAACTATCTTTTGGTCTTTGAGGTGAGTTTTCCCTCACTGTACTCGTGGATCGAAGGCACCAATGTTGGCCCTCTAGTCTATGTTATGTATCCTGGTATATAGGACGCTGTTATGCTATAATGATCTGTTAGATTGGTAGATCTATATGATTACTTGTACTTGGTAGTTATATGTTTATCTATTACATATGTTGACATAGTACAGTTGGGATGAGGTGATACTACTTTGTGCGGAAGCCAACAAACTCGAGAGTAATCCATACATAAGATGAGGGTTAGGAGGCCAATCCAAACTTATGTTGTGGGCTTGAGATCAATCTAGACATAAGTTGATGGCAACCAGACTTATGTTGTGGGCTTAGGGGTAATATAGTACGATGACTGTGGACCCAACATGCATGTTTGTATATGTTCTATTGTGTGGGGTATTTTGAGGGAATCTAATAAGCTTTGACTTACAGTTTGATTTTATGGTTTCAGGTACATCATATGATTGGAACAAGACGAATATGTGATTGTGCACATCATCATTGGATATTTTACTGATAGATGATTGTGAGATACTCTAACTTATGATTTGGCTTTTTGGGAACAATGTTTTGTATGATTTATGGATTATCAAATGGTTTTGAAAATAAAATTTTTTACTATGATTTTTTAGAAGTTACAACAATCAACTATAATTCTATAACTTGATTTCAAGTTTCAACAACAACTAGCAATCTACAATCAAATTATCAAAATATATGAAGTATAAACTTGATTTAAAGTTTCAACAACAAATAATCAATAATTATTAATCCTAAGTCCCTAATTTAACAATCCTAATTGGCGATTTCTATTTTTTCAACACTGCCAAAAAATTGAATTTCAATTAACCAAAAAATAATCAGGAAATTTCTACTTGCTTCATTGTCCACCACTTTGATCAATAATCACCCACAATCGGGGGGTTTTGTAGGAAAGCAACCACTACCAATGACCAATTACCGATAGAAGAAGGTATGGCAGCAGTGACGTTGTCTATCGCATGGGCAGTAGTCGCAATCAGAGTGTCGATTGGATTTTCTTAATGGTTATTTCCAATTTTTAATTGGTATCGGGCTAGATTTTGTGTTAAATTAAACTAATTTTATGTTGGACACTTGACATTTGGGCTTAATAGGTTTGG